TGCCAGCCACTCACGCTGGCTGCCAACCACACATGGTAGCTTATGGCAGCCCACTGCAGCGGTCAACTCACAGCAGCCCAGCTTCAGGTTGAGCTGTTGTTCACTATCTTAGCTGTAGAGGGCAGTGTCTCTGGCCCCCATGTGGGATCTGATGGGGCATTGCTGCTCAGAGCTGGCGTCTCAAGCCAGCTCTTAACCAATGCACCACTCGGCTGGCCCCTGCTTTATTTATTTTAATACTGACTAACAGTTGTTTTGAAGGATATAGTATCTGTTATGTTTTTGTGGTTATTTATTCATTTTTGCCTTTAATGATCATCTAAAAATTACTAAGCATACATAAATACTGCATAATTTAAGTTTAGGTTTATAATTGTTTTATTGCCAATTGATCACCTAAAGTGACAGCATTTTCCTTTATGTAAAATTTCTCTAATTTAGGTTCTCAAATATATCAGATCCCATGGTGTATATTTTTAAGTGGTTCAAAAAAATTTTTTAATTGAGATATAATTTACATAGATGGGAAATACCCAGATCTTAAGTTTACAGTTTGGTCAATTTTGACAAATGCACACCCACACCCCTGTGCAGACACAGAATATTCCATCATTCCATGAAGTTCCCTTGTGCCATTTTTAATCCTTCCTTTCCTCTGTTTGTGAAGCAACCAGTGATTTGAATTCTCTCACTGGTGGTATGCTAGTTTTTTGCCTAGTTGTACGTAGCACTTGATATAAATGAATTATATAGTGTGGAATCTTTGAGGTAAGGTTCCTTTCATTCTGCACAATGTTTTTGCGATCCAGCCAGGCTGTTGCAGTATCAGTAGCTTGTGCCTTTGTATTGCTGCGTTATATGAAAACACCACAGTGCCCATGGATGTGTAGTCTATTTCCATTACTTGACTATCATGATAAAGCTTCTGCTGACATTCGGTAACAAGTCTTTGTGGACATATGTATCATTTCTCCTGGACGAGTACCTTGCAGTGACCTTGTAGGGCCACTGCTGGTTCCCAGGCTGGTTGTACCATGTTTCACTCTGACCAGTCATCTACATGAGTCCCGTGTTCTGACTCTGCCGGTACTGCTGCTGTCTAGTCTTTCACATTTTAACCACTGAGGACATGTGAGGTCATTTTTCCTAGTGGTTTTAATTTGCTTTCCCCTAAAGACGAAGGGTTTTAAACACCTTTTCATGTGCTTATTAGCTACCTGCATATCTTTTTGTGAGTTTCTATTAGTTTTTTACCTGTTTTTAAACAGGATTTCAAAAATATTTATTGAGCTGTAGGAATCTTTATATATTTTGGATATGAGTTTTCTGTCTTTCATGGTTTTGGGTATATTTCCCCCAGTATGTGGCGTAGCAGTGTCTGTTGATGAGCAGAATTTTTTACTTTGGTTGTCCAGTTTATCAATCTTTTAGTTTTGTGATTAGTTCTGTATCTGTTGTAAGAGTTTTTAAGTTAGAATAACATACTGTAGTGAGCCTCACAAAACACCAGTAAATTCTAAGACCTGAAAATAACAACACAACACAATAAATCACAAGTAGGAACCAGAAGAGACTCAGTACGTGTAAAATGTGGTACAATCAGTGTGACTCTAAAATTCAGTTAATTACCAGGTTGGATTATTAGCCCCAGCATCCTGTAAGAACAGGAAGATAGATGTACTGACTGGACACAAGCAGACTGCCCCTCTTACCTAAACACAGGTCAGCATGGTGGTGGCTGGGCCTGCCCGTCATCACATCCCACCTTCTCTTCCACACTTAGGCTTCAGAGACGTGGCCTAAGATGATCGTAAATTCTATTTCAGTCTCTGCCTCAGTGGTAGGGTTCTTCCCCACAGTCTCTGCCCTAAAGGGCATAACTCCCTTTTTCAAATGGGTTTAATGGTGGCTCATCGGAGTATTTGTCGCCGCATCCAGAAATCACTTAGCTATTTGCATTGTTCTTAGTTTTCAGCACTGTGATTTTTTTTTACATTCTTAGATCAACCTAATGTGAAAATGGAACTTGAATTGTTTGCAGTGAATTTGGCTTTCTTTTTGCATGATGACGTTACAAGGAGGCATTATTTAAAAGTTAGTATCCTTTCTATCCTCTTATCAGGACTGGGAGTATCTCCTGAACTCAGACTATCACCAGGATGTGGAGTCTCACCTTTTGAATAGATCCTTATGTCTGAATCCTTTGGAAGCTCCTCAGATGAAGGATGAGGACTTGTCACAGAGTCTCAGCCTGGATTCTTCCACGCTTCTCTTCTGTCACATACCGGCGATGTTTTTTGTCCTTCACCTTGTCTATGAGGAGCTCAAGCTGAATACTCTGATGGCAGGAGGAATTCGTTCACTTGCTGACCTGCTCGTTCAGTTGGCAAGGTATGCTCTGTGGAGTGGGAACCTCCAGGAGTCCTTAGGCAACTCGCTCTGAGCCATGAATGTCATAGAGAAACCCGGTCTATATATTTCTGAAATCGACCTGCTCAAAACCCCAGAGCATTTTCTGTAAACCACAGAACTGTATGCCAATATTGTCTGTCGAAGGGCCTGTGGTTCGTGCTGGTGTGGTTGCTAGTATTAACCTGAAATCAGTGGGAAGTCACAAAAGTGTTAAACAGTGGGGATGCGCTGCTGAGCATTTCCTGTTGACAAGATGACGGGCTGCACTATGTGGAAGTTCTAGAACAATGCCTGCGGTTCTGTAATGATACCTGCGTTCACATAGTGCTGGGGCTCACAGACTCTTACAGGAATTGTCACACGCAGTAGGGCCTGGGTCCTCATGTAGTGACACGGAGACCTGCCCGCTTGTCCTCGCCTAGCTGGGCTGTCTCTGGGCTTTGTTGTGCTGTGTGGTCGCCCCATCTTTAGGTGCCGGGGCCAGTGATGGAAGCTAGAATTCTCCCAGCTTGTGGTGGGCTATGTGGACCCACAGTAACACTGTTTTATATGCTCTTACTCTCTTAGGGACTTAAGATTGGAGCCTTACTTGGATCATTACTATAGAGATTACCCAACGCTTGTCAGAGCCTCTGGACAAGTGTGCACAATCGATCCAGGTAAGCATGTGTGCTGTTATAGATTTTCTGAACAGTGCAGGGACGTTTGCTTGTCCTTTTCTTACTGTTAGCCTCTAGGTCAGTGGTATGTTTTTCCACCAGGCAGACTGCAGCTTGTGTTTGATCTCTGCCTTGCAGTAAGCCATGACTTCCCCAGCGTGTGGGAAAGTGATGCCCAACCCGAAGGTTCTGATGGGCAAAAGATTAGAGAGAGTGTTCAGTGCCAAGGCCGCTTTGCCCCAGACTTGTGCTGTCCATCCAGCAGCTACCAGCCTTAACTTGTCACTCAAGTTAATTATATTAAAAAGGCAGTTGCTCATTTGCATTGGTCACATGTCAGGTGCTTAGGAGCCGCTGGGGCTTATGTTGCCACATGGGAATCTCTTTGTGACTGCTGTCCTAGACCCTGAGCTTGAGGGACTCGGCATCGGGGCCCATTTGCTGGAACACTGGAGTCCTGCTGTCTCTTGTTTTCTCACCTTTAGGGTCAGTCAGAACAGAGAGTTTTGGTTAGGTTCTTTATGTGCCTTGAGTACAAAACTTTGCTAAATTTCCATCCAGGATGGGATAAAATAGTAGTCATTTAAATCCTACATGTTATAATACAGTCAGTCTATTAACTGTGGCCAAAAATGCAGAGCATTTTGGAGACTACGGAGCAGTGTTATTCTGACTGATGAACGGTACCTGATTTGAAAACCTTGTTTCCTTTAGAATAAAACAGCACTGTCCTCTTGTGTTCTTGTATTTACAAACATTTCTCTGGTGCAAAGGTCATACTGGATTCATGCATCAGCCGTCATTTTTCACTTCCGAGCCCCCGAGCATTTACCAATGGGTGAGCGCCTGTTTGAGGGGCGAGGGAATGCCACCCTACCCTTACCTCCCTGGCGTCTGTGAACGAAGCCGGCTTGCTGTCTTGGTATGTACGTGCAGTGTTGCTTAACTCGTTTCTCTCTCCCTTTTTCTTTTTGAATGTGATTTTTAAATTTTTTTTTAAAGATTTTATTGGGAAACTGGGGGAGGGGAACAGTACTGGGAAATTGAGGGAAGGGCAACAGACAAGTTGCTGTCGTTTTGTTCTTCAGTCTAATTGTGGAGGACGTTGCTTCACTGGCCCATGTTGGTATTATCATTGCGTTCTTCCTGGGTGAGGCAGATCAGTCGCCGGCCTCTGGACAGCCGCTCATGGCAGCTCTTGGCAGCTCACACCGGCTGTCAGCCGCTCACACTGGCTGCTGGCCACACACGGAGGCTTATGGCAGACCACTGCATAATAGGGGCTGCAGCCTATTCTGTCGCCGGTGACTCAGGTCGAGCTGTTGTTCACCATCTTAGCTGTAGAGGGCAGTGTCACTGGCCCTCATGTGGGTACTGAACCCGGGCCCTGCTGCTCAGAGCTGGCGCCCCAAGCCAGCTCTTAACCAATGCGCCACTTGGCCGGCCCTTGATTGTGATTTTAAGAATTATACAGTAAAATTAACTTCTTAAAAATCCTGTGTACAGTTGTGTGATTTTCAGCAAAGGTATATATTTGTGTAATCACCCCCATAGTTGGGATATAGGGCAGTTCCAGCACCCTCCACCACCAACTTTCCTTATGCTTTGGAGGTTCATCAAGTGTGAGGTTGCATGTATCAGTGGCCGGCCCGCCCTGTTGGGAACCTTGTGAGTGCTGAGCGCTAGTTCGTTCCGTGGCTGTGTCACTTGGCTCCTCCACTTACTCGCTGGACATCCGTGGGTGGCTCCAGTGGTTAGCAGTTACGAATACTGCTGCCTTAAGTCCACTTTAAGAACACTTAAGTACACTTTGTGTGAACATGGTTCCATCTCTAGGGTAGATAGCCAGAGCTGGGATTGATGGCCATATAGTAAGCATATATTTTGTTTCTGAAAAACTGAACTATTTTTCAGAGGGGCTGTACCATTTCACACCCCATAAACCAGCTGTTCTCAACCTGTGGGTCACAACCCCTTTGGGGGTCGAACGACCCTTTCACAGGGGTCGACTAAGACCATTGGAAAACAAAAAGATATTTAGATTACGATTCATAACAGTAGCAAAGTTACAGTTATAGAGTAGCAACGAAAATAATTTTATGGTTGGGGGTCACCACAACATGAGGAACTGTATTAAGGGGGTTGAGAACCGCTGCAAACGAACGAGTGAGTGAGTGTTCTGGTCCCCCTGCATCCTTGTCAGTGTTTGGCATGATTTTTTTTTTTTTTTTAGCTGCGCCATCCTGCCAGGCAGCTCAGCTGCTGCTCAGCGGCTGCTCAGCTCTGGCTGGGACTCGAACTGCTGTTGCTCAGAGCTCAAACTCTTGAGCGAGCTCTTAACCAACTGAGCCACTCGGCCAGCCCCCTGGCATGATTTTTCATTGTCATTGTAATGCGTGTGCATCTCATTGTGGCTTTCATTTGCATTTCCTTAATGGCTAGTGAGATTTTGAGAGTTCTAGATAAGAGGTTTTGTCAGATATGTGGATTGTAACTATTTCCTCCAGATTTATAGCTTTTCATGTCTCATCATTCACTTGATGTTTCCTTTGCAGAGCAGAAGTGTTTAATTTTGATGAAGCCAGTTTATCCAGTTTTTTCTTTTATTTATAGTGCTTTTGGTATCATGTCTAAGAATTCAGTTTCACTTTAGGTCACATATTTTCTCCTGTGTTTCCTTGTAGAAGTTTTTTACAGTTTGTTTTTTGTTTTGTTTTTGTTTTTATGTTTTACATTTAGATCTATAATCCATTTTGTTAACTTTTGTAAGATGTGAGGTTTAGGTTGAGGTTCCTACTCCATTTGGTTGCCCAAATCTTCTAACATCATTTGTTGAAAAGACTGTTCTTTCCCTGTTGCTTTTGTACTTTTGTCAAAAATCAATTGACCACATTTCTGTGGGTCTATTTCTGAACTTTTTTTATTCTGGTCCACTGACCTGGTTGCTGTCCACACAATCTTGATTCTGTAGCTTTATAGTAGGAAGTCTTAAAATTGGTTGGTGTGATTCTTTCCATTAGCTCTTCTTTTTCAAAATTGGTTTAACTATTTTATTTTAGTTCCTTTGCCTTTTCATTGAAATTTTATAATCAGTTTGTAGCTACCAAAAATCCTACTTGAATTTTTTTTTTTCAGAGAAACACACCTTATTTAAAAAAATTAGTTCATTTTGAATAGTGAATACATGTCCGGGGTCAAACCTTCAGCTAGAACCAGAGGGTGTTGATAAAGGTGGCTTCTTTTAGCACTTGTCGCTCGGTCCCCCACTGGAATAGCCTGTTCACAGATCCTTTGTGGACCGTTCCAGAGAAGGGGCCTTCCCAGGCTTACAGGAGAACCGTGTGCTTTTGTCCTTTCTCCCACATGTCAGTGGGCCCACCCGTCTCTCCTTCACTCTGCCTCCTGCTTTGCTTCGTGCTGAGAAAGGTTTCAGAGCTCTGTGGCTCTGACACAGACACGCAGAATGGTGATTCTATTTTCAGAAAAGTGACGATAAGATAACCGAACACAGTAGTTACTATTACTACTGTTCCTCAGTGTGCAGTTCAGGAATTAGATACAATCACTAGTATTACGAGCAGCTTAATCCCAGAACTTTTGCATTCCTTGCTGCTTGTGTGGAGACATATAAGTAAAATCACCACATATATTGGTCCTGCCCAGCTCAGCCGAATGGTGTAGTCTCGGCGTGTATCTAGCCTAAAAGGGGAGCCAGAGAATTGTGGGTATGCCAGCATTCAGCCTCCGACCTAAATTGTATCAGTCAACTTACAGGCATTCCTATTTAACTGTCCTTTGTCAGATGTAATGTCAGCTGGATTCAGGAGTATGTCATTTGTTATGCTTGTATGGGTTTGAAATACAGAATTTTAAGGTCCTCCAGCATTGTACTAAAATGTCAATAAAAATTATGCTACTTAAAAAAAAAAAAGCCGCTGCAGGTACAGATCTTGGTGGTGACAGCAAATATTCAAATGAGAACCTTGAAGGCCAAAGTGGACAAGGGTCAGGGTCTGAGGTCAGGGTTAGGGTTCCACTAACCGGAAACGATCCAGATGTCCATCATCAGCTCATGAGCAGATGAACAGTTGGGTACATCTGCAATGGAACTCTGGGTAGTAGGAAGAAACAAACTTGTGGTAGGTGCGGTGATGTGGCTGCAGAGGCACACTCACAAAGCAGGACACCAGCTAACACTCTGGCTCCATCCACACGACAAATTTCAGGGCAGGACTTGTGCTGGTGTAGGCGGGATACGGGGACCATAGAGGGCACCAGGGAACTCTGTGGGGTGTGGAGAGTGTTGTGTGTCCTGACTGTGGTAATGGTTATACGAGTGTCTAAATTTGTCACAACTCAGAGCTGCATACCTAAAGTAGATGGGCTTTCCATCACCTAAAACTGATGTGTTAACTTTCTTCTTGTGCAGAGTATCGCACTCTACATTCTTGGTGATGAAAGCTCTGTTTCTGATGAATGCTCCCAGTATTTATCCAGAATAACTCCAGGTAAGTCAGTGTAGTGATAGGCTTCCCATAGTGAATTTTATAAATATCGATACCAGAGTTGATGTTAAAAAATTAAAAATTTCCTAAGTGTTTGCTTTAGAGTCTACATCCAGCCTCTTTTAGAGGTGATGTCCTGCCTTATTTAGAGGTGATGTCCAGCCTCATTTAGAGGTGACGTCCTGCCTCATTTAGAGGTGATGTCCTGCAGTGTTCTAGTATATAGCCCACAACTGATTTTCAGAGACCAGGGTTACTTAAAAGCTAATACACTACACTTTTTTTTTTTTAATTGGGGAATTGGGGGAGAGGAACAGCGTTGGGGAATCGGGGGAAGGGGAACAGACAAGTTACTGTCCTTTTGCTCTTCAGTCTAGTTGTGGAGGACATTACTTCACTGGCCCATGTTGGTATTGTCATTGTGCTCTTCCCGGCTGAGGCAGATTGGTTGCCGGCCTTTGGACGGCCGCTCATGGCGGCTCTTGGCAGCTCATACCAGCTGCCGGCCGCTCACGCTGGCTGCCGGCCACACACGGTAGCTTATGGAAGCCCACTGCAGCAGGGGCTGCAGCCTACGCCGTCGCCGGCGACTCACGGCAGGCATCCCAGCTCCAGGTCGAGCTGTTGTTCACCATCTTAGCTATAGAGGGCAGTGTCACTGGCCCTCATGTGGGATCCGAACTGGGGCCCTGCTGCTCAGAGCTGGCGTCCCAAGCCAGTTCTTAACCAACGCGCCACTCGGCCAGCCCCTAATACACTATACTTTTGATGTCTCCTCAGGGAAATGATATTTTCCAGTTTGCCAGAGGATTGTTCGTTTTATTATTTTTTAGGAGTTGTTAACGAATTTTTATTTCCAAGTGTCATCTGTGTGTTATGTGTTTTCCTTATCAGGAAGACTATCAAAATAAAGTTTTATTTTATTACCTTTTAGCACCCCAAAAGTCACAAGCAGAACAAGAGGAAAACAGGTGATTTTTATTCAGATTGTGCTTTTATATTAAAAATATAAAACACGATGGTGCGTTATTCTTCTGTTTAATAACTTTGTGTTTTGTTCTCCTGTAGGTTTAGTTTCAGGCATTCTGCATCAGTTTCTAATCTAGCTGAAAGATTAGTTGTCTGGATGACGAATGTAGGTAAGAGTGTCTTTGTTACTTTTATATGTCCTCGAAATGCCCCTGAGAACCCCCAGTTCCCCTGGATGCCCCCTCCTTACTAAGCCCAGCGTTCTCAAAGTGGGCTGGGGGTGTGAGGAGAGAGGGCTGTCGGTCCTGAGAGGCCCACAGGATGGGTGGCCCAGCAAGCCACACTTCCTTTGCCTGATAGTCTCATTACTTTCATATAATAACATCTGTGATAGCAGCTTTTTAATCTCTTGGCCTCCGATGGTGAATACTAATCACTTCACATCAAACCTGAAGCCATTGCAAACTCAGATATTAGAAAGGAGTGTTTCTCGCAAAATAGAAATGTAATTATATAAGCGTTGCACATGTGCTTGGGAAGGGTATGGGCACCAAGATGAAGATTCCCAATGCTGTGCTCCCAGGTTTCCTACTGAAGAAAACACTAAGGAAATTTTTTACAAAAAAAAAAATAATAATTTTTTTTTTTTACAAAAAAACTAAAATTACTGATACGAAGATATAAAAAAATGAGGCTGTTTCTATGTTGGAAAAAAGTAATGCTCTAATGATTATTACAGGATGTTTCTGAATTCTTATTTAAAGTATATTATAAATGAGTTAGTTTTTCACTGTTCATTTTTTCTATGCCCCTCTCGAAAACTACAGTAATTGTCACATAGTATTACAGATAGTATTAATATTATAGTATTACCTATGCTGAAAAATACTGGATGAGTTCTATCCACTTGAACATTACATAATATTTAATAAAAGTGTTATCTCATACAAGGAAATATTTTTAGCCTAATCAGCTTTCTATATTAATAACATATAATTTATAAAATTTAGAAAATCATTACAGGAAAAATAAATTTTAATTCACCTGAAGACTTGAAAAATTAAAAACAAGAAACGTGACATACATACAAAAGAATGTATGAAATTTTTCAAAATAGTAAAGTAACTGTTGATGTGTTGGTCACCCACTGTTAGAGTGACACATTGCCGGTGTGGCAGAGGCTCTTGTGTGTTTACTCCCACATGGTGTCCCCTCACTCATCCAACCCTGCAGGTAACTGCTGCCCACCTCAATTTTGTGTTCTGTCCCTCAGTTTTTTTTGTAGTTTTTATCATCTTGGTATACTGTTAGTGTTTTATGGTTTTGAACTTCGTATAAACGGGTATAAATATGAATTTTTTTGGTCTTTTTTTCTTAACTAAATATTATTATTTAAAGATTTGTCCATGTTGACTCATATAACAGTAGCTCATTCATTTTCACTGCTGTATAATCCCGTGTTTGAATATATCACATCTTATGCATTCCATTGAGGACAGCAACTGGGCCATTACCTCCTTCCCTTTTTGTACCATGATGAAACCACCCTGTTGGTGACTGTTTTAAACCTGTGTCCTGGTGCACATGTGCACAAGCTTTTGTATGGCTGTCCTCGGACCGTGTGGGTGCACCTGTCTGTACACACCAGATGTCTTCCATTGTGCTTGTACCATATACCCGCCACCAGCCGCAGGTGACAGTCACTGTTGCTATGCGTGGTCACCAACAATTGGTATTAATTAACTTTAATATTGTTGTCAAGTGAGTGTGAACTTCTATTTTCCTAGTGGTTTTAGCTTGCATTTCCCTGGTCCCTCATTGGACAAACCATTTTTTCATTATTTGTTGACCATTTGTGTTCCTTCTTATGGAAATATTTTTAAGGTCTTTGTGTTTTTCTTGTTGGATTGTTTGTCTTAAGGTTTTTAAGAGTTTTGTAAAGAGACCTTTTCTATTTGTCCCTGACGTCAAGACACTAGCCTTAGTAGTAATAAGATAAACAAAATGAAATTTCTTTGTCAGGATAGATGTTTACTAATTTCGGTCAGAGGGCAGTTGGAACAAGAACAAGTGTAAATGAAAACTTTTCTCCCTTCCTTTCACCATCAGGTTTCACTTTAAGAGACTTGGAAACTCTTCCCTTTGGAATTGCTCTTCCCATTAGAGATGCAATTTATCACTGTCGCGAGCAGCCTGCTTCCGACTGGCCAGAGGCTGTCTGTCTCTTGATCGGACGTCAGGACCTTTCCAAACAGGCCTGTGAAGGAAACTTACCCAAAGGGAAATCTGTGAGTGTCAACACAGAAAGTTCAAGCTTCACTTTTAGCCTCTGTAAAATAAAAGTGTGCGTGTTCTTCATTTTCCTTTACGTCTTTTTGCAAGTGTTATGCATCAGATTCTTTTTTATGTTATGTGCCCAGTAGAGCTTATGATTGACCAGATCTTAGTAACTGCAAGCTGAACATGGAAGCAGATCTTATGGATGCACCTTTCTTTGCCTTAAGTCAGTATAAGTGCCAATCGCAGGGCAGCCACCGTGACTGACCCACTTGTCCCATACTGGGAGCTGACTGCTATGTGGTCATCACACAGAAAGGGAGCACGTAGGTCCTGAATTTGATTTGTTAGTATGTAACTATTTTCTTTTTCATGTGTTTCTGATGGGTTAAATTTCTTGAATTTATCCTTTTAAATAGCTGTAAATATATCTGTTTAATCACATAAAACTGAAGCTCCAGGAAGAGGATTTTTTTGGGGGGAGAAGGGACATTAAAGTTGTTTAGAAGGTGTCTTAATGTTACCCCTTCTCAATACTCTCCTTCATCAGTCTTCAAGTCTGTTTTCTGAAGAATGGGTTCGAAGAACCTATAAATGGAAATGTAGTACACCTTTACTCTCTAGTTATTTCTCTTTTAAAATCAGCCTCTTTTAAAACTTAAATATGGAGCTTTTCAAACTTCTTCTAGAACTCTGGTTAACTTTAAAAAACTAAATGGCAGTACTGCATTGCCATGACAACCAGGAAGATGCAGGGATGCTAATTCCACTGGTGACAGTGCAGGCCGGGCCGCCTCTCATTAACTTTGGAGCCAGCAGATGGTAATCAGTACATTGTAACTGTTATAATTCACATTAGGGTTTAGGCTGCTGGTGGGTGCTTCTTCAGAGCCTGGGTCTAAGTGTGTTCCTAATGTTGGTGCTGCCTTGTGGATCTTTGGCAGAAGCAGTCTCCATGGGGACCCAGTCTCCAGCAGGGTTGTACCATATACCTCTCTTTCACTCTGCACTTATGTGACAGCTCTTAGTTGAACTAGTGTTTCTCTTGTTTTAAACAGAAAACCAGCGGTTTTTTTTTGGCTATATTTTGGATAACCCTTCCCTTAACCAAAAAAATTTTAACCATTTTTCCCTTTTTTACTTGCTAGAGTGGGGACAAAATAACATCATTAGCACTAAAACAAAATGGTATTGATAGTTATCTGTATTTAATTGTCATTTTAAGTAATTCTGTCTGTGTAAATTCAGTTCCGTTATTTGAAGCTCTATTTTATAACTCATCTAAATTCAATTTGTCAGCTGTTTGAGTCTATTTTATAGATAACTCACCCATTAGAATACAGTTTCTTTTGAAATTAGATACTCTATAGGAAGCACAATGAATTTTTAGGAACTAAGAGTGATGATGTAGTCAGACCTGCCATTATTTTTTCATGCTAATGTTATTCCATGTTAAATGTTGCAAAACTCCAGCATTTCAGCTGGGATTTCATCTGTTGAAGGCGTGTAAACTTTAGGAGGGTGAGATTTCGTGTTGTTCACATCTGTTGAAGTTTGACTCCTCTGGGCGGGCAAGGCTCACGTTAAAGCAGATGCTGAACTGGGGATAGAGTGAGAATCAAGGAATGGAGCCTTCTCATTCGCTTTGTTACACTCAGTCCCTTCCCTTTTAAGACATTTTTATTTGAAAACTACTTATAAAAAAGATGTAAACCAGCCACCACGATCCATTGTATAATTTAAAGTACTGAAGGAAGAAAGTATTGTCCAGCTTTCTCCACGCTCAGGCTGTTCTCTTCTGCTTGTATTAATCAGAGATAGTACTTAAATTTGTGTGGGCCCTTTAGTAATAGCAGGGGTCATGTTCCACTTACAGTCATTTGTTTCCTTTTCAGGATGTTTAGGATATAGTTAGATTTTTACAGTTTGTTCAGACTGTTTCTTTCAGAGGAATCAGCCTCCTGACTATTGTCCTAAATTTAAACTTTTCTCTTGGCTCAGTAAGGAGTTTTCCAAGTGGGTAATCTAATGGAACTTGACAGGAGAGTTGTAGCTTAGAGGCCCAGGCCAGCCTGCTGGGGAGTTGGCAGTCTCTGGGTTGGTAGTCAGGACCTGTCATCAGAGCCTCTTGCTCAGTTGGTGCGCGGCACCTGATTTGTAAACTGTCACCACAATCCAGTCTGTTACTCAGGTGCTCTCATCAGATGTTCCTTCAGGAACAGAGACTGAGGAGGAGGATGATGGCATGAATGACATGAACCAGGAGGTCATGTCACTTATATGGAGCGAGGACCTGCGGGTGCAGGACGTGCGGCGTCTTCTGCAGAGCGCGCACCCCGTCCGCGTCAACGTGGCACAGTACCCAGAGCTCAGCGACCATGAGTTCATCGAGGAGAAGGAGAACAGGTAGGGGCAGCTCTCTGCCGCGCAAGGTGGTGTGAGTGCCACCTGGCCCCAGCCCACCCGCCTTCCTAATGTGTTGGCATTGAGTGATGTCAGTGTCGTGTTTCAGATGCTCCTCTGGACATACATGCATCTGCTCTCTGGAAAAGGCGCATCTAAAACCATGTTGCTCGTAGTTCCCCCTAGAGTTTACAAACAAAGCCAAACCCTGAACTCGTTCTTCTGAATCTTGATCAGAGATGTATTTTGAGAGTTTTTTGTTTTTGTTTTGTTTTGAGTGTTTTGTAAACTTACACCAACCTTTTTTTTTGCTCCCATCAGAAACTCTTAAAAGTGATGGGTAATATTCATAAGCCTTCTCTCTTAAGCCGGTCTCTGACACTTACTATATCCCTTCTTATATCCCTAATACTTATCTATCCCTTGATAAATTGTAAGACTCAGTAGTAACCAATGTCACGTGGCTGTGACATTCCAGACATTGTTGCCTTGGGACAATTCAACTTACCATTTAGAATTCTCTGCTGTCCTTTTTTCTGCCTGGTCCCTATCGCCTGTCAACTCGGCCACTGTTGTTTCCTCCTCCTTTCTTTACTTATTGTGATCCTGCTGGAAGGGAAGGTTCATTCACACTCAGCGTCAGGCTGCTGAAGGTCTGAGGCAGCCATAATCTCCCTCTCTGTTTCCTGCCCTAATGGACCAGGCGTTACCCACCATAAAGGAGGGCATGTGGTGACAGAGAGGTTGAGTGAGACCATGGTCGTTACCATGGGCCCTGGAGTCAAGCTTAGCCCTACCTACTGGGTGACTTTGGGTAAATTACTTACTGTCTTGCTGCCTGAGTTGCCTCCTCTGTAAGAACAGACATGGCTACAGCTCTTAGACCTCACAGTGCCACTCCATGTATTAAGTGAGTGGTTTCTGCACAGTGCTGGGGACCCTGCCCAGGACACGGTGAAGCTCGGTGCAGCAGTCCTCATTGTGAATGCACTTCCTACATTCTGTGATGCCGATTTTTCTTCACCGTTTAGTATCTCTGAACAGAGTATGCCTTTCAGTCAGTAGTGTTTAATTGGAAATGATTTTTCTTTCTAGTACCTCATGGAACAGTGATACATCTTATCAGTGACATTGTAATTAAATGAAAGGACAGAGTATTATTGTTTTCAGTATGGTAATGTTGTGGATTATATGTAAGGTTGCTGCTAAAAAATTCTGTGGGATGTTGGCTCCCGATCTTGAATGTCCCTGATTATAAATGAACGTGGGACAGTGTTCCCAAAGAATCTCAGGATGGCAATTTTTTTTTTCCTCACCAGTAAACTCAAGGGGGTGACCAGTTAGCTTAGTTGGTTAGAGCATGGTGCTGATAGCATGAGGGTTGCTGGTTCAGTCCCCGCATGTGCTGCTGTGAGCTGCACCCTCCATAAAACAGTCAACTATGCCATTGTGGCATGGAAGCAATATGTAGCCAATGGCCATGGCTCTTCCCCAATAAAATTAAAAAAATAAATAAATAAAAATAAACTCAAAAAGCAGCTATGAGTGTGTACAGTTAGCAAGAGAGCGTGCTTGTGAGTAGCTTTGTCTGCAGAGAAAATGTTAGCCCCTGAAGGGCATTTCTATGTCTTCAGGTATCACTTGTGTTGTTTCCTGGTTCTAATGCCCCTACTTTGATAATTTCTGTTTGATTTCGTTTTGTTTTAGGGGCTCTATGGATTTATTTTAATATAGAAACCAGTAGCACATAGAAGCTACTTTAACCTTGAACATCATTGATACATAGTAAGTCCTGTAAAGCCCAGCTGTCATGTCAGTGAAGCTGATTCAGTGTTTTCCTTGCAGACACCGTGGAATCCACTGACCTTCATTGTAGGAACCTCCTTTCCTTCCTCATGCACAGGCCACGGAGGTGGCACTTCTGAGACTGTCTTGGCAAAATGATAGAGGAGGACCCAGGGGTACTGAGGGCAGCTAGACTGCAAACAACACAGGGAGGAAACCCAAGCCTACGGTATTTTCCTTTGAGAGCATTTGGACCAATTAGAGTAGAAGTTCAGGCTTCCGTTTTTCTGATACCTGAAGAGTTGGCTTGGTTTATAGACCTGCTGGTTTTCACTCAAAGCAAATGTGAAAGAAAAGAAGAGAAATGCATCTCCCCTTAGAGTTCCCAGTAGGAGTGAGGGTACCAACCTGAGAATGGCCATGTTGGGCCGACTCAGCACACCTTCCTGGGGGTTCACAGGATGTGACTTCATCTTACATGACATGCCTTCTGAAGTACTTGCCTACAGATTGCATTCCAGTTATTTTTCTTAAAAATGTTTCACATGTTGGTTTCAATTTTAATTATAGATTGCTGCAGCTGTGCCAGAGAACTATGGCCCTTCCGGTGGGACGAGGGATGTTCACCTTGTTTTCATACCATCCTGTTCCAACGGAGCCGTTGCCTGTTCCCAAGTTGAACTTGACTGGTACGTTAAGTCCTGGGCTCAGTGAGGAAGGAACGTGGCTGAGTATATGTTCAGTGGACTAATTCTTCTGAATTAGCCAAGTAAAAGCAGAGATAGGCTCTTCCTACCCCAAGTGCTTTCCTGTCTTGTTTAGAGCTACTCTAGTGGCTGTCACAGTGCAAATAGCAAACCAGACTAAACACTAAGGGCGTAGCATGTAGCCCACTGCTGATTCTTGCGTTTAATGAGACCGTGAGAGACATAGTGAAGTTTAGAAACAGATTAACGGTAATGGTGAGAATATTGAACTTTAAAGCATCTTAAAGTGTAAAAGGTAAGAATATATAGTGTAAAAATGTCTTCTTACTCTGAATACATGATCCTTGTACAAAAATGAGAAGATACACTCATGGTCATCCCACTCGCTAGACTTCACTATGTTAACCTTTTGGTGTATATGTTGCCAAATTTTCTGCATTTTATCATTTTATATTTAATTATCAGAAAATTGAAATGTTTTATAAATTATTTTAAAAATGTACTGTACAGTGAGCATCCTTGCATATCTAGCATATGTATGTGTACAGTTGTATTTTGTGTATGTATTATGTAGTATTGTGTGCTCATTTGTTATCAACACTTCATTTTTATTTTCTGGAGTGTTTCAATGGAATATAGGTTATATGAAAAACCTGGTATTGTTAGAAATTATCCTTTCTATTTTAAACATTGTTGGGGTATGTTCATCTTACTTATTTAGGATAATTGCTTAGAAGTACGACTCGCAGGATGGTGACATTTTAAGGATCTGAAGTGGCATCCTGTCAGATTGCTTCTGACTGGCCACATAAGTTTTTACTTCGGCCAGCTATGAGAGGGCTCCTTTCCCAGTATCTGGATTATAGGGGGTTTTACAGCACACGCTCACCTGGTGCTGGTGTGAGTGTATTCTACCTGCGATAGTGGGGTAGTGGAAATTACCATTGAAAATCCCTTAGAGTGCATGAGGTTTTAGAGACCTGTACACATGTATGCATAATGCATACAGTAATGTATAGTGTATAAGATACGTAAATATAAGTCCACACTATTTTAAGTTGCTCCATTTTAAAAGTCCAGGGTCCTGCTCAGCTGTGCTTTCAGCAGCATATGGGACATGTGGCTGCTGAGTGAAGAACCCGCTCCCTTCTCCAGTGTCACCTAGTCTGCAGCCCTCATCTCCACCATGACCCGCACTGTCGTGATTGTTCTCTCTTAGAGATAAAGTAACTATGGCAAAATCTGAACAATTGTTGAATCTTGATGGAGGGCCTGGTATTAGGTGTTCATTTCATTAGTCTTTCAACTGTTTAAAAGTTTTCATAGAAAAAATTTGGGTTAGAAAAGAACCTTATGCAAAATTGGCAAATGCTAAACTATATTAAATCTGATGCTTGGCTGGGGTTTAAAAATAAGTATATGAAACATTGTCTTCTTTTTTTTTAATACATTTAGTTAAATTTGCATGATTTAAAATGTGTTTATGACATTAATCCCAAGTTTATTCTTTTAGTCTTTCTGGTAGGCTCCCCCAACCCCCTTAAAAAATTATCTTGATTTAATAATAATTTGGGAAAAAATACTTCCATAATATACTTCATTAACTCACTCTGATATGGCCTGTTGTATTTTTGTATGTTGTTAGTCTTGTTAAAGTCATTTTGCATTACCGTTTGCCTTTCATTTTCTTTTGTGTGCAAATATGTGTTATGTATTTGATGAACTGTTGTTTTAGAACGTTTACTTATTTATTTTTTTATTATTAATCTCGGCCTTTTTTTGAGAAAGTAAAAAATGTAACTCATGAACTTGTCACCCTATGTGGTACTGTCATACACAGGCGTTTGAGTTTGTTCTTAAGTACAAAAATCAATTGGAAAGACACAAGCACACATTTTAGTTTGTGCCTGTGTGTGTGTGTCTACACACTATAAGACACTGTGCTTCCATCTAAAATTGATTTTACATGACTTTCATAACTCCTTTAACCATATTTTGAAACCTCTAGTGAACTATGTAACTTTATGCACTATTTAGAATATTTATTTTAAATATTTATCCATGCTTAAGCTGATACAGAATATTAAAAATATAAAAGAATTCTGTATTTGCCTATACACAGTGTAGATCAAAATCAAAAGACTCAAGAAAAGGAATTCAAAGAGAACATGGTATCATGACATTTAATTTACATCTCTCTTAAATTGATCATCACATTAAATTTAGTGAGTGCTCTTACGGTTCCTGTGTAACTTAGTTCTATAAAATGATGGTTTTTTTTGTTTGTTTTTGTTTTTTAATTGGGGAATTGGGGGATGGGAACAGCGCTGGGGAATTGGGGGAAGGGGAACAGACAAGTTGCTGTCCTTGTGTTCTTCAGTTTAGTTGTGGAGGACGTTGCTTCACTGGCCCAAGTTGGCACCATCATTGTGTTCTTCCCAGGCAGGCAGATCAGTCGCCTGCTTCTGGAAAGCCACTCATGGCGGCTTGAGGGCCGCTCACGCTGTCTGCTGACCACACACGGTAGCCCATGGCAAC